TTTGTTCAACTCGGAGTCCAAAACGTTATGTTGTAATGCCGGGGAGTACTTCGTCAACTTTGACACCTATTTCCAATGCCCCGACAAACCCCTCTGCGACATCTACGCCTCCCATTGGCCGCTCACAGACGATCGCGGAGACAAGATGTACGACACCACCACCAACGAGCTTCGGTACACTGGCTTCACGGCGCAATCCAGGCGGTACAACAGCCTCTTCGCCCTCGCACAACACGAAATCCAGTGCAGCACTGGAGACAAAGAGCTTCGATTCGGAGACGCCCGCCGGCCAGCAAACATCCGTATCCATGGGGCGATTTACCGACGCGTATTCTCTATGGCAGACCAGGTCCCTCTGCGATACCTGGTGCACGATCCGCAAGACCGCTTCGTCACCGCCGCGGCGCACGGCCTCAACAAGCAGACCACCAAACAACTCGAACAGCTCATAGTGCCGAGAAGTGCCCACATGCGTATGATTCAGCGTTTGGCCCGCCAGTCCAAACAAGCAGCAGACGCGAATATCATCTTGGAGTGGCACGAGGGAGTCAACGAAGTGGCTGGAATACTGGACGTCGACCCCACCCCTGACCGCAACAAAAGGTCCATCGTCTTCACATACAATCGCCACGACACGCCGTCCTACTTGCACCCGCTGAGCCCGTTTTACGAACCCTTGAGTTACCCCCTGTGGTACCCGTTCGGCGGCCGCGGCTGGAGTACAGACGTCATCAGCGCCACCGGCCACAAGGTAACACAGATGTGGTGGTATCGCCAACAATTGCTCCGACTCCCCCACATGCACCTTTGCGGACGGCTGCTCAAAGAGTGGCTCATCAACATGTTCACGCGCATGGAAGACGAGAGGTTCTCCCACATCCGTCATCAACAACGACAGCGTAGCGCCACTCGCCAGGAGCTCTGCGTGGTGCTCGCCAACGACCCCGCCAAGGCCGGAACGGTTGGCAAACAGTACGTTCTGCCATCGAGCGTCCCAGGATCACCTCGCCATCTTCGCCGACTGCGCGCTGACGCCCTGGAGCTGGCGCGACGCAAAGGCCCGCCGTCGTTCTTCATCACGTTGACTTGCAACCCCTACTGGCCAGAGATTGTGGGTCAACTGCACCGCGGACAAACCGCCGCCGACAGACCCGACATCGTCGTCCGCGTCTTTCACGACCGGCTGCAGAAGATCGTCGCTTTCTTGAAGGATTCTTTCTGCGGGGCTCGCCGTTACCTCATCAAAGTGATCGAGTACCAGCTCCGCGGCCTTCCACATGCGCACATCGCTCTGGCTGTCCTCAACCCGCCCGCCACTCCGGACGAGGTCGACCTTCTCATCTCCTGTGAGCTACCCCGCGAAGACGGACGACTCCTCGAACTCGCCCTTCGCCACATGGTCCACAGCTGCAACCATTCTTGCCACCCTCAAGACCCCGCTCAAGACTGCGTGAAAGGATGCCCCTGGCCGTTTTCGGACGACACGGTCTTCGACGCGCGCGGCTACCCCCGCCACCGGCGGCGACCATGCGGCGGCCACTGCCCGAATTGCCGATCTGGCCGGGCCATGCGCGGGAAACGCGACGTCTGCCTCAATCGGCTCATCGTCGAATACAGCCCCGTGGCGCTTCAACTCTGGGAGGGGCACGCCAACGTCAAGTACGCAGCGACGGTGGAACTCTTCGAATACCCATACAAATATTTGTTCAAAGGCCCTTCCAAGACGAACTACGACGTCACGCTAGATGCGAAGGTTGCCGACGAGAGTTCCGAGTGGCTCAAAGGCAGATATCTGTGCGCAACGGAGGCAGCATGGCGCATGTTCGGATACAACACCTACGACAGATGGCCGCACGTCGTCTGCTTGCCCGCGCACCTGCCCGGACAACAATGGATTGTTTTCGCGGAAGGAGAGGAGGCCAATGCG